TAACCCTACACATATTTTTCTAAGGCTTGAGACGAAGGGTCCACCCCTAATAGCGTCGACGCCAAACCCGTGTCCGGTTTTTTTTTTTTCTTTTTGCAATTTTTTAATAATAAAATAGCAATCTGGTCCTCCAGTTTCAAAATACAATAGCAATTTAGTCCTGTAACTTCATATTCATTCACTCAGATCCCTGAAAGTGATTTTTCTTCTCCAATACAGTCCAAAACTTTTAAAGGATCTTCAATTAAGTCCAAAAACTTCTTTTATTATGCATTCAAATCATTTTCTGTACAAAAAATAAAAATTATATAAATTCTATTAAAAAGCACATCCTATCCATCTACTAAAAAAATATCAAGGCTATAATAAGAAATTAAAATATATTATAGGCTTAAATCCAACACAAAAATAAAAATGCTTAAAGTTAGACCCATCTTACTCAAGTTCACATTGTAAATATTATCAGGCAACGCCCAAGAGATGAGGAAACAATAATGCTAAAATGGGAAAAAAATTCAAATCAATTTAGAGTTTTCTGAAACCAAACTGATACTAGGGAATCGAAATGGAAAAATGGCGACCAAACTCCATTGGTTTTTGATGATGAGCAATTGGAAATTAAATTATCAAATATGTTAGGAGATTTAAGCTGAGATCTCAAATTAAAAATCTATTCTAAAATTATGATATAACAAATTTCACTCCAGTTTTACTAATTTTAAGGAATATTGGTAGGCTTTTGCTAAGTCCTACTTGCCTCTGTTATTAATAGTTATCATTACTTGAGAATTTTGTTATAGTGAAAGTGTTCCAGAAGGTATTACTAAGGAAGGAGTTAATGACACTCATGCAACAGCATTAAAGAGCCATGAATCAGATGATAAAAAGTTATGGACTCATATTCAAAAAATTTAACTCAAGGTTCAGTTTGATTTTGATTAGTTAGTTTACAAATTCTCATCCATATATATATTAAAAGAGAAACCAATTAAGGAAACTCTTGCTACCTCTCTTAATATACTCTTTTATTATCATGTGTCAATGTAAAAACTCTTCTAGCCAAAGTTCATGGTTTCTGAAAGACTTAAACTTAAGTTATTAGTAGTATTTGGTTTCAAAATTATATATCAAGTTTACTCATAAATCCCCACTGATGTATGAATTGGAGTATTACATCTTTATTTTCTTTAAACCAAA